GGGAGTAGATGAAGGATCGCTAGGCAGCAGTCGTAGTCGTGGGGCTTGAGCAAGGGTCGATGCCAGGGGGATCCGTCCGACGTGGAGGCACAAGACAGGAAAACAAAAGGAGAGGCGAACAGGAGGAGCCGGACTCGGCAGGACAGGTAGGTCAGGTTCTGGAGCTGGACTGGGAAAGGAAGGCAAAAAACACGGGGAAAACAGGCAAGGCATGGGAATGGGTAGACAGCAGACAGAAAAATGCTCAGTAAGGCTTCTAATCATCAGCGCAATACTTTGCGATTAGGCTTTGGCTTTACCCCTCCTTTAAAGGGCGCTAATTGCTTCCCGACGCGTCACACCTGTCCGGCCCTGCCCGTGTGGGCGTGACAGCTACATTATAATGCGATCTAAAAAAGCTGTTATTGGGATGTGGGGCCCCGGCTCTTCCGTGCTCTTCGGGGGCTGCGGACGTCCTAGGCCTCCTGGGTCTGTCTCCACTGACCTCTGGCTCTTGTGCGGTGTGGTTGTGGCCTACCACCCTCGCTATTTAGTACGTTCCATGTTGAAAACACATGCACACAAGCCCACACATCTCGCCTACACAATTGAGCACGCATGTACATACACTTGCACGCCTCCCCCACGCACACACAGCAATTTTGTATCTTTATATAGCTGTGTTATTTTCTTTATTCTTTATTTTTGTTTGTGTTTATGTATTTATCCATTTTTACACTTCTTTCAGATGCTGTTGATATTTTGCCTTTTTTTTCTTCCCTCTCCTTTACAGGTGCAGGAACTGGATATTGTGTATTGTGTTCTCTACTTTACTCATATAGTTTTTTCTGTTTTTTCTTTCTTTCTTTTTTTGGTTCTTTTATTTCTTTTTCTTCCCCCTCCTAATGTGTCCCTCCTCTTTGGCCAGCTCGGCCACTGCAATATTTTACATTTGCTAAAAATGAATAAAATAAAATAAAAAGAAATCGATCAACATGAGGGGCTTATACAGAGTTTATAGACCTCCTCATGGCAAAGCAAACATGTTTGGCACAGCAGTGCATTCAGACCACGATTCTGCTAAAGCTGCCGGACAGGACAGAAGAAAAAAAAAACAAGCCGTTTAATGAGTCTTTGTATTCTGACTTCCAGTTATGATACCACTGTTGGCTTTGCTTGTGTGAACAGCAAAAACAAGCAGTGTCTGGATTACAAAGTTCGCTTTCAATGTCCTCCTTCATTTTGTCCAGGTAAATCAGCACCCATCTCTCTATGTCTAAATGCACATTCACATGGTAACACGCATGATGAGGCCAGCATTCACACCCAAAACTATATTCTTGCCTTCTTTATAGAATAAAAATTGTCATTTTGTTTAAATTCAATCTGCACTGTCCTCTGCTGCCCACAAACTGTGACTGGTTTGTAACTGGCCTGATTGGGAGTTCTGTAGCAGAGAAATGAAGATGGAAAAATGTTTATATTTAAATTAGATAGATTCTGTACAGTAGGAAAGAAAATTATCTATTCATTAATTTTCATAAAGTACTTATCTAGTTAGGGTCTTTGTTATCCAGATCCTAATATAGGAGACATCAGCAAGCAAAGACACGTCTTGCAGAGGATGTCAGTCCAGTACAGGGCCCTCACACTCACACACAATGTCAAGGCTGGATCTGTGTTCTTAGACCAGGAGGTGTGAGGCCACACAACTCATTGTTATTCACTTAAATGCACTGTAAAGAGACTATTCGTGCAGTGAGGTTTGCATGTCATTTTTTTGTATTTTACCGTTTTCTTTTTTTGAGATGGTTGTTACATTTCGTCGCTGTCCATTTAATAACACGTACCTCCAAAGTTACAATAGAGCCTGTTGCAGGAACATGAAAAAACACATTTTCTCTGAATTTGCTTTAAAAAGTAAACCTGAAACAACGTCATGAAACACCCTTAGCACCACAAACAGAAACCTATCTGTACACAGACATCAGTGATTAGTAGTTTGCTAGCCCTACAGACTATTTATAAGGTAATAAACTCTTACGTGTAAATGTCTGTGCAGACCAGAGCATGTGAGCAGGAGCGGAGCGGGCGGAATTTGGTCAGAGCGCAGAGCGGTTTTTTTTAAATTAAGGCTGGAGCGGTCGCTCTTTCTCGCTCCAATTTCGCTCCGATACCGCTCACAGTACGACTCTGAGGCGTGCCCAAATCTACCCAGAATTCATCTGTATAATTATCAAGACTGTTACACAAATTGGCCGAGATGGAATTTGCAAAGTATTTCACAAAGGAAACTGATAGGTCATACAAGTGTACTATTCTTATCAAATGTATACAGATGACAATAATGTAGAGCAAGAACAACAATGTGGTGAAACTGTTTCAGTGAGTAAAGATTCACTTTGGAATATAAAAAGACACTTTTCTCGGAAACATGACAGTGTGCTACGAGGCCAGAGCAAAACGTGAGATCTATATGGTTGTACAGTGTAGCATATCACATCTATAAAGTAATTAAAAGTATAAAAGCGTATAAAGTAAATATTGGTAATCAATAAATTAGTTTTATTCAAAGCAACTAGGTCTAATAGGATTTTTTTTAATTCATGTAACGCTGTCGATCAGTGAAATTTAATTTACAGAGAGAGAGAGAGCATCAACAGAAAAAAATGAGGAATTTAAAACGTGGATGCTTATCTTGTATATTCTTTAGGCTATTAAGCCCACTGATTCCTTTATTTTAAGCCTATTTTTGTGTGGAATGCCATTGCCAAACCTGTCCGTTGTTGCCTATATGTTGTTTAATAATAAATATTTTTTGTTCTGAGTGACAATATTGTTGTTGCTCATATTTCTTTATGATATAAGGCTTCGGTTTAACGTGACATTTGTTAGCCATGCAGATTATTTGTCCCTCTTTTAAATTGGAGCGAACGTGGAGCGATTTGACTGGAGCGGGAGGAAATTTTAGTGGAGCGAGGAGCGGTGTTGAGCGGAGCGACTTAGTGAGAATCAGAGCGGAGGAGCGGGCGGAGCCAACAGTCGAGTGAGCGAGGAGCGGAAATTCTCACCGCTCCACTCCGCTCACATGCTCTGGTGCAGACTTGTCTCAAATTGAAAATTTCACTCCAGCCAGCTGACCAAAGTTGGCAACCCTGCGCTATGCAGCGTTTTCTGAAATGTCAATACTTTCAATCTGAGTGTTTCATTTTCATAAACTGTACTGTCTGGGTTGGGCTGGCACCAAATAAATGTATCAGGATCAGCGACACCAACCTTGGAATTGGATCGAAATGGATTGAAGATAAAAAAAAAAATCTGTGGTATTTCCCATCCCTACTGTTTACTCTGAAAAGTGCTGAGGCAGAGGCTATCAAACTGTGTATTGCATCAGCTGACTCCCTATATGGTAGGTAGTTGATAAACAGATGAATGGAAATGGTGACTGGATGTTGAGTTACCATATTGATTACAAATTGGAATGGCTCCACAGGATTCCTATAGTAGTAAATTGGAAAATTGAAACCTGTAAGCTGCTGACCTTTTGAACACTATCAAGGTTTGACACCGAGGTATTCAGAAAAATTACTTACTTGGAATGCTGGAAATAAGCAAAGATTAAAAAGTATAAACAAAAAAGTTAAATTAATTCATCACACTGTCTGGACATAAGGAACACATCATGTCTGCCTGATTAAATCTCTCACTTTCCTTTGCTGATCAGTATGTTGGACTCAATGGTTTAACCGGGGTGATCCATGTGGAGTAGGAGATTTTGAAACTCTACAGGATCTTCGCCAAGAGAACCCAGGAAAGATCTGCGATGCTCCAATCGCGATTGAAGCCACTACTGTGTCTGGGATCCCTGCCTCTCAAACAGGGCAAACTATCCAGAAGTAAGACATTTATTTCTCTACATCCAAAGATGCACTTCCATGACTTGTCAGTATTTCATACAGCAGAGTTTCTGTTAAGAACCATGGTCTTCAGTTGGGTCAAAAGGAAAGGAGATTCAGAGAATAGACACATTTCTCATAGGCTTTCATTGCTAAAACATTTTTTCCTGAGTGTGTTAACACTTAAATCGTATTCTTTGTTTATTTAAATATCACCAAAAATTAAAAAATGCATTTATTTTTCTAGCTAAAATAATAAAAATACTAAGTAAACATTATTTTGTTATAGCAGTGATTAGAATCTGTTTTAACATTTCTATTAGTATGTGTTATTGTTACATTTAAAGTTTGTGATAGGATTGTGTGACAGGACATCACTAAGTAGATGAAACTGCCNACACAAGGGTACCTACAGCAAACTGCTCATGGAGAGTTATGAGTCCTGTAAGTGTGTGTTTTGCCTCAATTTTAAAGGACTCTTGTCTTTTTACAATAAAAATCTAGTTTTGTGAAACTTTTGATTTCTGGATAAACATTTTTTAAAGTAAATTGTTCCTTTGCTGGATCATGGCTTCATTTATGTAAGGGGAAATACGTCTATTGGCTAGATCTTTCAGTTTGTGTATCTCGCAGCCCCCTTGTTATAGAGTAGTACACCAAATTTGTCAGGTTCTGTGCGGCCCTTTACTGTAGGGTACAGCGCCTCACATTGTTATGTAGCCAGCACCTCTGTGATGTAGATTCTATACTCTGTTACATGCAGGGATGACAGTGGTAATGGGGACGGCTAAGCAGACTGACTCCTCCCAGGAAAAGGCCTGCAATCACCAGGTGTGTGTGTGTGTGTGTGTGTGTGTGTGTGTGTGTTATGCATGTATTTACATAATGGGGACCAAATGTCCTCACAGTGTGATGGAAAAACCTGCCATTTTGACATTGTGAGGACCCTTTCTTCAACCCCCAAAAGGGAAATTCAGGTTTACCAAAATCTGTGTCTGCAATCAAAAAACTAAAAATTGCAAAAGTCTTCTTTTTTGTTTGGTTACTTATGGTTAAGGTTAGGGCTGGGTAGGGGTTAAGGTCGTCATGTTAATATTTAAACAAGCTTATTCTTATCTTAGTGCAGTTAATGAATCCTGCCAAACAATGAATAACAATTTAATATTGATTACTGTGTATGATTTTGTGTTCCTGTATATGTAAGGGAAGTTTCACCATTCAAAAAAGCATAATTTAATACCTAAAATGTGATGTGATATCTAAGATAATAAAATTTTATGAAACTTTGAGCACCTGCATACGTTTCTACATTTACTGGACCTGTGGACAAGAATCAGCTGTCCTCAGTCTTAATGGGGAGAAAAAGGTGTTGAAACATTTGGATTGTGAAACTTCCCTAAATGCAGAGAATTCATTGAAGTGAATGTGGCAAAGGTACAACTCTGTTAGAGCTGTAGAAAAATATACCACTTGAAGATTGTGCTTTATATGAATTTGGATCTCATTAAGGCACGTTATTGCATTTTTTTTGTATTTTATTTTAGGCAATGACTTTAGGGTAAGAACGGCAATTTTTATCTCTTCGCAATGTGTGTATGGAGACTACAGTTCTAATACTGGAACTTTGGTGCCATTGGTTTGGGAAGGAATGGCCATCAGCAGTGAAACAGCTCTGGGCTGTATTAGATAACGTGAAGATGAATTTAAAACTTGGAGTCAATATTACTTATTGCAGTATTGGAAAAGTGAAGGACAATAAATGTGTTTTTACCCAAATGCTGCGTCCTAGTCATAACACTTAAAATAATAGGCATAGTTTCAGAATTATTTCATATTCCATGGACAAGCTAATTTGCTAATCTTTTCCCCAAAATGAGGCGGGTAACTATTTCTTTGTGTATGCTTTAATGTCCATGTGATAACATCTTGTATTATATTTTTTATGTCTTGTATATTCTTTATACATGTAAGTCATGAACACAAAAATTTCCATGAATAATAAATCCAGCTCATGAAATCCTTCAAATGTCTGTTTACCGTTTCCATGCTCTCAATTTACTGCTTAGAGCTCTCAAATGAATTTTGTTGTGCTCATGTTTATTTGTGTTCTTGCTTAAAGAAAATGAGCCTGCAAAGCCAGAAGCTGGAGTAAAATGTGTGAATTCTATGGCTTTTACAGTAGGGAATTTGTTCACTCACATAATAATGGTGGCTATTAGGGATTATGGTCATCTAATTCTTAATGCCCTTGGTAATAACCAATATATTGTGTGCGTACCAGATATGGCGATTGCAGTACAATACGTAGTTGCAAACAATTGTGAAAAGGTACAAAATGGCATCTACTGTACATATGCCAGTCACCCTCCAAGTCTCACCCACCGTGATGAAAATACAATCGAGTGGATGCACACATTCACTTTACAGTACAACAAAATAACACAAAAAACGTTAACTACACACAGCTATTTACATTATCTACCTTTAGCACTGGTCCAGCATGCCTTGGCGCTGCCTGATGGGTATCCCCAGCACTGGGCTGCCCGTCCCAGTACGCCTCACGTAGTTCTGGGCATGTTCCAGGCAGTGCTGGACCTTCCGTAGCCACAGGTGGTTTCTTTATGGGGGAAAAAAAACACTTGTAAAAAGTGGTTTTTTTTCTTTCTTGCAAATCTATGACTTTACAATCTCAGAGAATATCTTTTTTTCCCATAAATTTGCAACGTTAAAATTTTTTCTTTTTTAATTTTCCCACAGCTCAATTTTTTTTCCCCCACAATGGCCCTACGCTGTCGTTGTATTCTGTAACTGCCTTTTTCTTTTAATTTGTTTTCTCAAAAACAAGAAAATCTACCTGCTGCTAGTGTGTCTCTCCAGTTTAACAATTTCATTCAGTATACACACTTGGCTCAGTTGCAAAGATTTCACATTGTGTTTGGTATGAAAGTTTTTGATTTCTCAAATTCATATCTGAATATTTCACAAATTACCGTTGAATGCTGATATTGTATCCCTTATCAGTGATGGACAGGAACACTGATTGAAATAATTTCTATCATTAATTTTTCATAAATTTGTCATGCATTCTTTTTAAGACAGCATCTCGTCTACAAGACTGAGCTACAACTACAAGGGACTACACTAAATTTAAAGTGAAGTAATGTCTTAATGGCATGAAAAATTAAATACCGTCAGTCTACTACTTTCAAACATTTAGCTTATTTATGACCCAAGCCACCATCTTTAATTTAAAATTAGTCTGTTTATAAAGGCCAATCTTTATAATCATGTATGCCCCTAACTTTTCTGATTTCTTATTCAAATAAACATGTCAGACAAGTTTGTGGTGGTTCGCATCAGCACAAAGTGGTAGGTTGGCGCTTTTTTAAATCAGGTTATAGGGCTTTGTGCAATAAAGACACCTGCTGGGGAGTTTTTTGTTTTTGTTCGCTTTGTGTATTAAGATGGTCATAAAAGAGCTGCAATTTGGCTTGACCTACATGGGAAAATTTATGACTTCACAATTTCAGAGAATAACAAAGTTTTTTTTTTCTTTGTAAATTTACGACTTTAACCTCCAGCCCTAATACACAGTCATAGGATGCATCTAGTTTAAAAAAGCTTAAACTTTACAACTACTGTTTCAAATGGTACTTCAGGATAAGCAAGATTAAGAACATCAGCAACCAGCTAATTAAGTACAGGAACACATTATTATTTACCCACATCAGATCTTCCCCACCGTGAGTTATTCCTACCAAAGTGGGCAACACATAATACTGAACAAAAGTATTTGAAAAAAATAACATAATATAGAATGAAGACATTCATGATGTGCCAAAAAGGGTCCTTTGAGAACTTAGTGGTAACACATGATAATACAGCCTCAGAGACAGATCTGGTGAAACTGATTACATTAAGACTAGTCACATAGTTAGACTTATAATAAAAAATATTTTTACAGAGTTAGAGAGAGTGTGAAGGGGGGTTAGAGATTGTAGAGGTTGAGGCTGTGGGAAGCGTAGGGGTTAGATGGGGGTAGGGGGGGGGGGGGGGGGGTGACAGGGCATGCAGGGAATAAACTTTTGTCGTTCGAAGAGCATCTAGTTCAGAATCAGAAAATTTTCATTATCCCTGGGAAAATGTTTAAATTTCCCTTGGGATCAATGAAGTACCCGTCTAATTTATCTAAGCTGGTTACATTAGGAGCTTGTAACGCCAGCTTGTCATCCTAATGGGATTTACACCTGTCATTCCAGCTTTGTTTCTTGAGAGTCTCCTCCTCTGTGTCCTTGTATTTAAAGGAAATCCCCCTTTTATGAGAACAGAGTGTGACGTAGAAAACAGCAGACAGAAAGGCAACAAAAGCGAAGACAAGCCCAGAAACCCAGGAGGCACACGCACCGAAAAACAGAAAAGAGGAACGGACGAGCCCCCAATTTCTGTTACGATCCGCAGTCTAGGGTTGAGGATCGACAGAAAGGTAAAGGAGAGGGAGAGGGGAAGACGAGACAACCAGGGAACGGGAAAAGGGAGCACGGGAAACAAAGGGATCTTTTTTGTAGTTTTTCATATTTTTTCAGACACGTTAACAAACACGAGGTGTAACAAACTTCGGGAGTGACCCAGGCAAAACTAAGCTAATTCTAAAGGTAACAAAAACAAGACGAAGTGAAATGACAAAGACTAAGTCTAACTCCCTAACCAAAACAACAGTAAACACCACGATCGCAGAAACAAAAAGGCAGTCACTCCTTACGCACCTAACAGACATATACAGAAAACACACAGTCCAAAAGCACGGTATTCGAAGGGGCGAGGCAAAGAGAGCAGTCAGGAGCTAAGCAAGAGTTCAAACCAGAAGGCAAAGGTACAAAGGGGGCGAAGCAGAAAGTCAGAAACCGAGAAACCAAAACAGTCATACAC